ACTCCCGCGGCCCTGACGGTCCTGTCATCTGCTATCTCGACGTCGAGTGGGCAATCCAACTCCCCCGGAGCTCTGCTAAATCGCTTTCTAAGTGCAAGCGACACAAATGAAGGGCCCTCTCACTGAACTTGGCGGTAATCTCCGCCACAGTCTCCGTCGTCTGCTGGAGGTCCTGGAACTCCCTAGCAAGTTGCTGCACCTCAATGACAGGTGCGAACTCGGCCCTGAACCTGGTCGTGAAATCACCCAGGTCATCGCATCCAATACCGCGTCATCACCCACGGCCTGCCCGACCTCCTCCCACCAATCTCTCGCCCTGTCCTTCAGAAGGCAGGACGCTAATCTGACATTGTCCCCCTCGGGCATCTGCTAGTGCGAAACCCGTTGGCGACATCCGCCAACCACCTAGTACTGGCAATGGGGTCCCGAGCCCCATGATAATCGGGAGCCCCGCATGCTCTGAACTCCCTGAAGGTGAGCGTGCGCGACCCCATCATCGCCGCCACCTCAGCGCGAAAGGCGCTCAGCTTCTTATCCAGAAGCTCTAGAATACCCTCCTTGACCGTACCGAAGATCACAGGAGTCTGCTCGAGTATAGCCCGAGTAACCTCTGAGGAGAGGAACTCCCTAGTCTGCTCACCTAGCTGCCGGGCCCCAGAGCCCGAGCCTGATCGCTCCCCGGCACCTGAACTGCCGACTGTTGGTCTGGGTCGTAGAACCACCATTCTGAAAATACATCAAAACCATGTCAGAATACTACTCGTAGCTAGAGGGATCATGTAACAAACCGTTATTTCAAACCTATGTAATAATGTAGGTCTATTTGTAGTTCTTTTAAAATAATAAAGAGAAATTTAAGCATACTGTGTATATTTACATAACTGACCCTCAAAAATAAAGTATTAAAAAATCTCAATTGGGATGAACCAAGTGGTAGAGATTGTAACGAGGTTTCCAAAAATATAAAGAACACTAAAATCCGTGTTATAACGAAGAAGTTATGACCAATCGAAGATCCGCGACAAAACCGGTAAAACATTGTTCAGTGTTAAAACTGAATTTTTAATAAAAGGCTTTTTAACCAGAATAATCTAAATGAAAGTTGTAGATTATGTTAACCCTAGAACTTTCATAAAAAGAACGTCAAAATCTGACTTCGTATGAGGAAGTTATGATTTTTCTAAGTTTCAGTATAGCAGTATACAGCTAAAAACTCGAAATAATGATCGAGTGATTATTAGCCGACACAACGTAAACGAGAATTGAAGGTCTCATCAATAGTAGTACAACGGTAAAAAGACAGACAAAAACGGACGTCAGATGAAGAAGTTATGAATTTTTAACGGATTTCCTGTCCCGGTCTGTTAAAAATAATAATATTAAAAATAAAGTTAAAATTAGCCGACGAAGTCTAAACGAAAGTCGTAGAGTATAATTTTACCTATGTGTGCATATAAAGAACGTCGAAAACGAAGCTCGTATGCGAAAGTTATGATTTTCGCAAGTTTTGGGCACAAAAATCGAGAAATGTTGAAAACCGGGAAAAATCGCATGGTGTACCTTCGGCCACGTCACCTCGCATGCGAGGCTTCCTCATGTCCTCCCCGTGTCAGCTCCTGATTGAACCGAAGTCGTGGTCCAGTAGCTATCGGACACGCCCTTCGCACGCTGGAGCTTCCGAGCTCGGACACGTGCCTTCTTCTGATTCGACCGAAGTTCGGTCCACTCCTAATCCGACACGACCGAGCCAGGTTTCCGAAGCGAGCCCTCCCCCTCGCCACCTGTCCGAACACGCGGCTACTTCTCCTTGCTTCGGATCCGAGGCTTCGACCTATATAAGGCATGCGAGACCTTCCGGATTTTTCACACTTTTCACCCCATTTTCCATTTCTTTTCACTTCTTTCACCACTTTAAAATTTCCTACAACCCCTAAAGCCCCGGTAGCAAGTCTAAAACCCTAAGCAAGCCTCGAAGCCCCAAGAATCCCGAGAAAAACAACTTTCTCCAGTCGAAACTCTGGCCGATTAAAGCCGGTTTTTCGCCAAATAAACTCCTTTCCAGGAAACGAAACGCTGTCCAAATCACCACTTATTAAGTGAGTTCATACCCCCAGATTTTCATAATTTTTACTGTTTTAAGGGGGGGGGGGGATACAAGTCTAACACAAGAACTTTTGTGTTATAAATAAATGATTTCAAATCGTGATAAAATGACATTAAGTAATTAAAAATACTCAAAATATTAAACTCTTTAATAAACTTATATTTTCCCCCAAAATTCATGTTTATATATATATTTTTATATAAATAAGATTCAAAAGGCTTAGGACTGATAACTCATTTTGGGTCCTTTTCCTTGTTTGGATGTGGGCTTATAGTACCAGGTATTTGTCCGAATGTCGTTTAAATTTTACTTATATATAATTGTGTATGTATATAAATATAAAAGTTATTTCATCAGTTTAAATACCCTTTGTAACATTTTGAGCAAGGGGTACATGCAAGTTAAATACCGATTCAGAAAATACATATAAATTATAATAGGTATAATTTATGATACATAGAACAATAATCCATGATTCAAGTATACTAGAATACACTGTTTTACAAGAAACAAGGGTTTTGATCCAAAACAAATCAAGGGTTTACAATTGTCAAATACATGTTCAGAATACTAATTCACGAACATACAATCAATCATTATTTCAGGATGATTGAGTTTTCATAACTATTATACATGTAACGTTTATATGCTTTTTATGAGACACAGTTAAAGTCCTGACATTATAACCAGAATCTCCAGCCAGGGGATCGAAACAAGTTGTGTGTAGATCTATGTTGGGATTGACAACCCCACACTCAGACTGCTAGCTACAGTCAGGCATACACGCTAATGAGTGACAATTGTTATCAACAGTTTAAACACCTACAAGCGTTGGTTTCAGGCCATCCAGTCTCAATATGGTTATCAGAACTCATTAAAAAGATATTAACAATACGTTAGTGTATAATCAACTAAACGTAAGTACATCTTCAAAGTACCAGTTTACAAAATACAAGCTACAATTACAGTTTTCAACAACCGATGGTGGAACTAGGCACACTCTCAGTCACAAGTTTTACAAATACAGAACATTGGTTTACAAATGGAACGGTTTTATGGGAATAAAACTACTTTTCATATACAGCAGAAAATATAGGATTTTCTGGAATAGTTTACATATTCGAGATACTGAAACATCCTTTTAAACATAAATACATACGCACTCACTCAACTTTATGTTGATACTCTCTTTTCAAATTACTTGTATTCTCAGGGAAACAATAAACAGGTACTCCCCGAGCTTTTTGAGAAGATGGAGCTATTTTGAGTCATATCTTCTTCCTTTGTATAACTATTTTGGTTTCAATATACAATGATTGAACACATGTAAATACTTATACTTTTTAACTACAATGGTTTTTTGTACTTTGATTACTATGATGCATGTGTTGTGATACTACAAATGAAGTCCTCCACCCCCGGACGTTTCCGCCGTCTGGTTTGGGGGTGTGACAGATTGGTATCAGCGCATTGTTTATAGTGAACTCAGTATATCAATCCACAAAATATATACAAACTATAAATACATCGGGGCTAAGAGCTTTGACTACAAGCATACTTTTTAAAGATTTAAGTATTTTTACAAGAAGTATACTAACACCCATACCTACAAGTATAGTATCACAGTCATAAGAACTCAAATGTATTTGAATGTTGGACATTACAGTCAAACCTGGGCAGTTATGTAATCATATATGGGATTAATATAACCTGATCAACTATATTGATTTGAGATATGACCAACATGTGTTTGGGAGTGATAGTAGTGTTGCGACATGTCTAAAACTTACCGACCATACATATTCGGAAGAACCATAGAACAGAAACACAAAGATTAAAATACTATGGGAGTATTTTATTATCCTTAACCTATCGTTACTAACTATATTCTATATCTCTTATTCCTATTCTCGTTTAGTTAACAATGACTGGATTTCACTTACCTGGAGACCTGTACTTTCCCGATCAAGGACAAGATGCAGAGCCAGAGGAAAAATACGAAATCCCCTTAGATGATGATTTTGCAGAAAATTTTCCTGAAGACAATGATTCTGAATCAGAAGCCTATAATCCACCACCAGATGCCCAAAATCCTGACCTTCGTCTGGCTTTTCAAGGCCCGATGCCTCTATGGGCGGAAAGTTTGGAAACATGGAGCCAAGAGCAGGGTCAACCTATGCCATACAACGGAGATAAAAGCTTCTACAACCTGAGCGAAGGAGGCTCAGCAAACAGAGTCCTGCCAATTCTGGTCCGTAGGGTTCCTCGAAATAAAATACAGGGTAGGACAGCCATCAACCGAGTCATGGAAGTTGATGTCAATGCAGGAGTTAATACAATCCGCATTCGTCGTCTTGAATATGCTCGTGACAGAGCAATGAGAGACAATGAAGCCTTACTGCAAGAGTTAGTCGTAACTCGAGCTGAAGTCATAGATCTTCAAACACGTCTGACAGTATATGAAAGACATCTGCTTGCTGTGGAGCGTCAACTGGCTGAGTTGAGGTTTCGTTCAAGTGGTACCCGTCGCCAGTAGAAGATGATCTACTCATTTCCTGTTCACTCTTTTGGTTATAGGTTAAGTCTACGGATAGGTTCTAGTGTGATGTCGATGTTTTTCCCAGAATTTGGTGTATTGTAGACCTGTTTAGGGTCAAATTTTCCAGACCCTATGTATTCAATATATGAATTTAATCGACATGCATTTGCTTACTCTTTGAAAAATAACCATTCAATTTCATATCATTCTGATACGAGTTGTACTTGTCGTAGACTTCTATTTCCAATTCATTATAAGATTCATGTCGAACTATATGTTTTAGTTCAGAGATATCAAAATTCATATTCACTCTTGATATCTTACCATCTTTCTATCTTTTAATTTTTATAGAAAAAGATGCCTCCTCGTAGAAATCCAAGACGTAACAATGTTAATGAAACACCTCCGCCACCTCCGCCACCACCTCCTCAATTCGACCCCGCTATGTTCCAAGCGGCGGTCACGGCAGCTGTAACTGCTGCCATGTCTCATATCAATACTCCTGGTGCTAGTGGGTCGGGAGCTGGTGCACATCCTTCTAACCATGGCGAGAGTCATGAGCACTTGCGAGAGTGCACTTATAAAGACTTCTCGAATGCCAAACCCAGGACCTTTAATGGAACTGGAGGAGTGATGGTTCTAAGGCAATGGATTGAGAAGACAGAAGCAATCTTTGAAATTTGCTCCTGCCCAGAAAGCAGCAAAGTCAAATTCGCTGCTTGTACCTTTTCGGATAGAGATTTAACATGGTGGAATGGCCACATTAAGTCACTTACTCTGGTAGTGGCTAACTCGATCAGCTGGGAGAACTTAAAAGCCATGTTACTGCGGGAATACTGTCCGCGAGGGGAAATTCAAAAACTTGAGCAAGAACTCTGGGGTCTTACAATGGTTGGTTCTGACATATCAACCTATACCAGTAGATTCTGTGATCTGGCAATTCTTTGTCCGGATATGGTTCCTCTGGAAAGCAAAAATATTGAGAGATATATTTGGGGAATGTCGCCCCAAATTCAGTCAAGTGTTTTAGCTTCGAAGCCTGTTACTTTTGACAGTGCCAAAGAGCTGGCACAATCTCTTATCGACCATGGAGCCCGTCAAAACTCAGTGGTTGCTCTACGAGAACAACCGAAGGGAAACAACAACAACAACAACAACAATAACAGCAACAACAACAAGAAGGGTTGGAACAAGAGGAAGGGCAAATTTCCTTTGGAACCTTCAAAGAAGCAACAAGTAGTGGCAGTCCATGCCGCAACTGTACCTGCTACCATACCTACCACTGTACATGCTGCTGTCCCTAATAACCTTGCACCAACTAAGCCCTATGCTGGTAACCTCCCTAAATGCAATAAGTGAAATTTTCACCACAACAAAAATTGCCAAGAAATGTAGTGCCGTAACTGCAACAGGAAAGGGCATACTGCCCGATTCTATAGAATACCACCTCAACCACTTAACCAAGTACCTGCCGCTGGAGTAGGTCAAGCATGCTACCAATGCGGTGATGTGAGGCATTTCAAGAGAGATTTTCCAAAAGCTGGAAATGCCCGTGGAGTTGGGAGGATTCTAGCACTGGGTCACGAAGAAGCGGTGGCAGACCCTGCGGTGGTAACGGGTACATTCCTTCTCAACAATACTTATGCATGCATTCTATTTGATTGTGGTGCTAAGAGGAGCTTCGTGATCCATAATTTTAAACATCTACTAAATCAAAACTCCCAACCACTAAAAGAAACATTCACAGTCCAATGGCTAACGGGAAATCCAAATCCACCAACGATATATACATAGGATGTATCCTTACCTTGAATGACTTGTCTTTCCCAATAGACCTTATGCCGGTCTCTATCAAAAGTTTTGACATCATAATAGGTATGGATTGGTTGTGCCCTAACCATTCCGACATCCTATGCTATGAAAAGGCTATTCGCTTGAACTTGCCAACTAATGAAACTCTTAGTATCTACGGCGACAAACCAGGAACGAACCTTCGGATCATTTCTTGCATCAAGGCATGAAAGTACCTTCGCAAAGAGTACTGTGCTTTCTTAGCTCACGTGGTTGACAAAAAGCAAGAAGTGAAAGACATCGCGAGCATTCCTGAGGTCTGTAACCTTCTCGACATTTTTCCCGATGATCTTCCAGGAGTGCCTCCCGAACGTCAAGTCGAATTCCGAATCGACTTAATCCCTTGAGCTACCCCTATAGCCAAATCCCCCTATCGTCTTGCACCTTCTGAAATGCAGGAATTATCCAGCCAGCTTAACGAACTCCTTAGCAAAGGTTTCATAAGACCAAGCTTCTCACCTTGGGAAGCACCAGTTTTGTTCGTAAAGAAGAAGGATGGATCATTCCGCATGTGCATAGACTACCGCGAGTTGAATAAACTTACCATCAAGAATCGATATCCTCTGCCTCGCATTGACGATCTGTTCGACCAACTTCAAGGTGCGAACTACTTCTCGAAAATAGACTTAAGATCCGGGTATCACCAGTTACGGATTTTGGAGGAAGACATTCCCAAGACCGCGTTTAGAACTCGTTATGGTCATTACGAGTTTATAGTGATGACATTCGGATTGACAAATGCAACTGCTGTGTTCATCAACCTAATGACAGAGTGAGTCGTCCATTCCTGGACAAATTCGTCATAGTCTTCATTGACGACATCCTTATCTACTCAAGAAGTAAAGAGGAACATGGCCAACATCTTCGTCAAGTATTACAAACCCTTAGAACAGAAAAACTCTATGCGAAGTTCTCAAAGTGTGAGTTTTGGATTAGGAAGGTTGATTTCCTAGGTCACGTGGTCAGTTCAGAAGGAAAACACGTCGACCCTTCCAAAATAAAGGCAATTGAAAACTGGTCAGCACCCAAAGCACCTACAGAAATCCATCAATTCTTAGGTCTTGCTGCAATATTATCGCAAATTCATCCATAATTTCTCTCGAATAGCTAAGCCTCTTACCACCCTGACGCAAAATGGTGTAACCTTTAGCTGGGGAGAAAAGCAAGAAACAACGTTTCAAATGCTGAAACAAGCTTTGTGTAGTGCACCGATCCTGTCTCTTCCTGAAGGGACAGAGGATTTCGTAGTGTACTGTGATGCTTCTAATCAAGGACTTGGATGTGTTCTTATGCAAAGAGGAAAGGTTATATCCTATGCCTCAAGATAGCTAAAGACACATGAAGTCAACTATACAACACATGACCTTGATCTAGGAGCAGTGGTATTTGCTCTGAAGATCTGGAGACATTACTTATATGGCACGAAATGCACAATATTCACGGACCATAAAAGTCTCCAACATATCTTCGATCAGAAAGAGCTGAACATGAGACAACGACGATGGGTGGAGCTACTGAATGACTACGATTGTCAGATTCTTTATCACCTTTGGTAAAGCAAACGTAGTAGCTGACGCCCTTAGCAGAAAAGAATACTCAGGACGCGGGGTAAAGTCGTTGACCATGACAATCCATTCGCATCTGTCCATGCAGATCAAAGAAGCTCAACTTGAAGCCTTGAAACCCGAAAACATGGCAGGTGAAACCCTGAGAGGAATGGATAAGAACTTCGAAGTCAGGGATGATGGAGTCTATTATTTCATAAACCGGATCTGGACACCAAAGTTTGGTGGTTACAGAGACGTGGTTATGAATGAAGCACACAAAACCCGATACTCCATTCATCCAGGTTCAGACAAGATGTATCTGAACCTCAAGAAACTATACTGGTGGCCTAACATGAAGGCCGAAATCGCTACCTTTGTGGGCAAGTGCCTTACTTGTGCCAAAGTCAAGGTAGAGTACCAGAAACCTTCAGGTTTACTACAACAACCTAAAATCCCTGAATGGAAGTGGGAGCGGATTACGATGGATTTCATAACTAAATTACCCAAGACAACGGGTGGTTATGATACTATTTGGGTAATCGTCGATAGATTAACCAAATCCGCACACTTCTTACCAATAAAAGAAACCGACAAGATGGAGAAGCTAACCAGAACTTACCTCAAAGATATTGTTAGACTGCATGGTGTGCCAATATCTATTATCTCAGACCGAGATAGTAGATTCACCTCTTGTTTCTGGCAGTCTTTACAAAACTCTCTGGGATCTAGGTTGGATATGAGTACAACCTACCATCCACAAACCAACGGAAAAAGTGAGAGGACGATTCAAACATTAGAAGACATGTTACGAGCTTGCGTGATAGACTTTGGAAAGGCATGGGATATTCATTTACCCCTTGTTGAACTCTCTGATAACAACATTTATCACAATAGCATAAAGGCTGCTCCATTCTAAGCCCTCTATGGCCGCAAGTGCAGATCCCCTCTGTGCTGGGCTGAACTGGGTGACACGCAGCTAGCTAGAGGTCAAACTCCTGACAGTGCTCTCACTGGTCCGGAAATTATTCGAGAAACTACCGAGAAAATCGTACAAATTCGGGAGCGACTTAAAGCTTCGAGAGATAGACAGAAAAGCTACGCTGATAAAAGGAGAAAACCCTTGGAATTCCAGGTTGGTGACTGCGTCTTGTTAAAGGTCTCACCCTGGAAGGGCATGATACGCTTTGGAAAACGTGACAAATTGAATCCAAGGTACGTAGGGCCATTCGAGATTCTTGCCAGAATCGGTCCTGTAGCTTACAAACTTCGACTACCCCAAGAACTAAGTAACATTCATCCTACCTTCCACGTTTCGAACTTGAAAAAGTGTCTATCCGACGAGACTCTTGTGAACCCACTTGAGGAAATCGAGTTAAACGAGAGCCTCGGTTTTGTGGAAGAACCCGTAGAGATTCTAGACAGGGAAGTTAAGAAAACCAAACAAAGTCGTATCCCGATAGTGAAGGTTCGCTGGAATGCAAAACGGGGACCTGAATTCACTTGGGAGTGCGAGGATCAAATGCAACAGAAATATCCACATCTTTTTCCCTAGTCTATCTGTAATGCTAATTTCGGGACGAAATTCTCTCTAATGGGGGGATAATGTAACAAACCGTTATTTCAAACCTATGTAATAATGTAGGTCAATTTGTAGTTCTTTTAAAATAATAAAGAGAAATTTTAGCATACTGTGTATATTTACATAATTGACCCTCAAAAATAAAGTATTAAACAATCTCAATTGGGATGAACCAAGTGGTAGAGATTGTAACGAGGTTTCCAAAAATATAAAGAACACTAAAATCCGAGTTATAACGAAGAAGTTATGACCAATCGAAGATCCGCGACAAAACCGGAAAAACACTGTAAAAACTGAATTTTTAATAAAAGGCTTTTTTGCCATAACAGTCTAAATGAAAGTTGTAGATTATGTTAAACCGAGAAATTTCATAAAAATAACGTCAAAATCTGACTTCGTATGAGGAAGTTATGATTTTTCTAAGTTTCAGTATACAGCTAAAAACTCGAAATAATGATCGAGTGATTTTTAGCCGACACAACCTAAACGAGAATTGAAGGTCTCGTCAATAGTAGTACAACGGTAAAAAGACAGACAAAAACGGACGTCGGATGAAGAAGTTATGAATTTTTAACGGATTTCCTGTCCCGGTCTGTTAAAAATAATAATATTAAAAATAAAGTTAAAATTAGACGACGAAGTCTAAACAAAAGTCGTAGAGTATAATTTTACCTACGCATTCATATAAAGAACGTCGAAAACGGAGCTCGTATGCGAAAGTTATGATTTTCGCAAGTTTTGGGCACAAAAATCGAGAAATGTTGAAAACCGGGAAAAATCGCATGGTGTACCTTCGGCCACATCACCTCGCATGCGAGGCTTCCTCGTGTCCTCCCTGTGTCAGCTCCTGATTGGACCGAAGTCACGGTCCAGTAGCCATCGGACACGCCCTTCGCACGCTGGAGCTTCCGAGCTCGGACACGTGCCTTCTTCTGATTCGACCGAAGTTCGGTCCACTCCTGATCCGACACGACCGAGCCAGCTGTCCGACGCGAGCCCTCCCCCTCGCCACCTGTCCGAACACGCCGCTGCTTCTGCTTGCTTCGGATCCGAGGCTTCGGCCTATATAAGGCATGCGATACCTTCCGGATTTTTTCACACTTTTCACCCCATTTTCCATTTCTTTTCACTTCTTTCACCACTTTAAAATTTCCTACAACCCCTAAAGCCCCGGTAGCAAGTCTAAAACCCTAAGCAAGCCTCGAAGCCCCGAGAATCCCGAGAAAAACAACTTTCTCCACTCGAAACTCTGCCCGATTAAAGCCGGTTTTTAATCAAATAAACTCCTTTCCAGGAAACGAAACGATGTCTAAATCACCACCTATCAAGTGCGTTCATACCCCCAAATTTTCATAATTTTTACTGTTTTAAGGGGGGGGGGGGGGATACAAGTCTATCACAAGAACTTTTGTGTTATAAATAAATGATTTCAAATCGTGATAAAATGACATTAAGTCATTAAAAATACTCAAAATATTAAACTCTTTAATAAACTTATATTTTTCCCCAAAATTCATGTTTATATATATTTTTTTATATAAATAAGATTCAAAAGGCTTAGGACTGATAACTCATTTTGGGTCCTTTTCCTTGTTTGGATGTGGGTTTATAGTACCAGGTATTTGTCCGAATGTCGTTTAAATTTTACTTATATATAATTGTGTATGTATATAAATATAAAAGTTATTTCATCAGTTTAAATACCCTTTGTAACATTTTGAGCAAGGGGTACATGCAAGTTAAATACCGATTCAGAAAATACATATAAATTATAATAGGTATAATTTATGATACATAGAACAATAATCCATGATTCAAGTATACTAGAATACACTGTTTTACAAGAAACAAGGGTTTTGATCCAAAACAAATCAAGGGTTTATAATTGTCAAATACATGTTCAGAATACTAATTCATGAACATACAATCAATCATTATTTCAGGATGATTGGGTTTTCATAACTATTATACATGTAACGTTTATATGCTTTTTATGAGACACAGTTAAAGTCCTGACATTATAACCAGAATCTCCAGCCAGGGGATCGAAACAAGTTTTGTGTAGATCTATGTTGGGATTGACAACCCCACACTCAGACTGCTAGCTACAGTCAGGCATACACGCTAATGAGTGACAATTGTTATCAACAGTTTAAACGCCTACAAGCGTTTGATTCAGGCCATCCAGTCTCAGTATGGTTATAAGAACTCATTAAAAAGATATTAACAATACGTTAGTGTATAATCAACTAAACGTAAGTACATCTTCAAAGTACCAGTTTACAAAATACAAGCTACAATTACAGTTTTCAATAACCGCTGGTGGAACCAGGTACACTCTCAGTCACAAGTTTTACAAATACAGAACATTGGTTTACAAATGGAACGGTTTTATGGGAATAAAACTACTTTTCATATACAGCAGAAAATATAGGATATCTGGAACAATTTACATATTCGAGATACCGAAACATCCTTTTAAACATAAATACATATGCACTCACTCAACTTTATGTTGATACTCTCTTTTCAAATTACTTGTATTCTCAGGAAACAATAAACAGGTACTCCCCGAGCTTTTTGAGAAGATGGAGCTATTTTGAGCCATATCTTCTTCCTTTGTATAACTATTTTGGTTTCAATATACAATGATTGAACACATGTAAATACTTATACTTTTTAAATACAATGGTTGTTTGTACTTTGATTACTATGATGCATGTGTTGTGATACTACAAATGAAGTCATCCACCCCCGGACGTTTCCGCCGTCTGGTTTGGGGGTGTGACAGATCACACATACTACAAGTTCCCTGGTTTTATCTCAGCCTTCCTTGATTCGAGTACGGATCCTCTGCTTTCAGTAGTACGGGCCCACACTACCTTCCGCATCTATCCGTACTTTCCTCAAGTACTGCCTTGACTCCACCAAGTCCCTTCTACTACTACTACTACTGCTGATCTCATGCTACTCTCATCCTAGGCTTGCCCTAGGGTAATCACCATCCCACTCTCCGCCATTAGCTGCCTAAGAAGTCCCTGCTTTCTTCCCCTAACTAGCTTGCGAATACTATTACATATTACTCAGACTCGATAATTTTTCGAATGAGGGATCCTACTCTACAACGGTTAGACTCAGACAAGAGCTGCGAAATAGAGGTAGACCTAACCTTCTGAACTTATTTAGTACTTGTAATATGTAACTTAACATATTCGTTACTAGTTAGTGAACGACAACTAGAACTCCTAAAAGCACAAAGCAAGAAGCATTCGGACATTGAGTGCACATAATCCAGCATCTACTATTCAGGCTATCACCCTGACTAATCTGTACTAGCATGCAGTTCTCATAAAGCTGAAACACATACAGGCACATAAGGTATCCTTCCTAGATCCTTAGTCCTAATCTAGCATGCTGTTCTAACAAAGCTGATAAACATAGCATAGCATAAACTTGTATGGGTAATTTGGGAGTACTTACTTGAGCTTGGCTGATTGCATGCACCACACCCTTTTCTCCTTTCAAAGTTCTTTTCTTTTTAAAAATTCCTTTTTCTTTTGAAAATTTATACCACTTCCTTAGTTTGAGTTCAGACACACCCGAAAGTGTGCCCGAATCCCTCAAACCAAGGCTCTGATACCAACTTGAAACATCCCAAAAATACGGCCCAAAAATTTCATTTTTCAATCGTAATAAAAATCATAAACCATTCAGTATCATAAGTAAAATCGTGGGTCATGTATCATAACATATCATAAAATCGGCCCCATATATATAAATCTCATACAAAATATCAGAGTAAAACTCCCAAGCTGAAGACTGTGGTGTGTGCCATGCGATCATCCCGAGCCCTTCCCTTTGCTAGTGGAAGTACCTGAAACCAAAACTGAAAACCGTAAGCACGAAGCTTAGTAAGCTACCCCAAACTACCACATATCATACACATATAACATGCAACTAGGAGATACGGGCCCCACCCACACTCATGGAGATACGGGCCCCACCCACACTCCACTGACTAGGAGATACAAGCCCCGCACACACTCTGATATCTTTGAGATACGGGCCCCGCCCACACTCAGCCACTCGAGATACGGGCCCCGCCCACACTCGCCTGCTATGAGATACGGGCCCCGCCCACACTCAGCTACTATACTGACATACAAGTATCACATAGAAACAAGTATACTGAATCTATCATTCAATCATGAATCATTTGCAACCAAACTACTAGGAGATACGGGCCCCGCCCACACTCAACTGACTAAGAGATACGGGCCCTGCCCACACTCGACTAATAGTAAACTCATATAGCGGGTCGGACTTGGTTCCTTAGACTCGTTCCTACTGAAGGGAAACTCACCTCGTGTGTATGGCTGCTGAAACCCTAAGTGAGAATTATCTGGCTGCTGCTCCGGCGCCTCTCCGGCTATAATTCCCACAATGACACATAGTCAAAAACTGATAACTAATCTCAGGGTGAAATGACCATCTCACCTTTGGTCAACATCAATATTCTGGTCAAAGTCATCATTCCAGTTGACATGACTCGCCGAGTTGGCCCGACAACTCGCCGAGTCCCTATTCTTTTATCCGCCCCCAACCTGACTCTACTCGTCGAATTTAGCAAGAACTCGACGAGTTCTCCTTCAATCATATCATCGGGACAATCCTCATCTGACTCGCCGAGTTCCTCCTGAACTCGTCGAGTTTATCTTTATCATATGAATGTGTCTAGTCTGTGACTCGCCGAGTTGTATGAACAACTCGTCGAGTCCATCTTCATAAGTTGGGAGATGGCCTTGGACTCACAGAGTACGTTCCTGCACTCGCCGAGTCCCATGGTTTCTAGATCCATGGCTATGTCTATTTCGTTGATTCCCTTCCCTGGACTCGTCTCAATCCCTTCTAAACTCAACTGGGTTCCTCTGAATCATAACAGTTTTCGGAACCAAGCCAGGACTCGCCGAGGC